CGGTACAAGTTTGAAATAACAATTTGGTTGAATCTGAAAAATTTGGTAAAGATCGGAATTTGTTTGGTATAAAACGGACTTAAAGTTGAGAAATTAGAAAATTTGGTGTTCTTGAATGATTTCATGAATTTGGAGTTTAATTCATAGTTGTTGATGTTATTTTGATGATTTGATAGCATGAGCAAGTCCGTATGATGTTTTTAGGTTGGTGTGCATGTTTGGTTTGGAGCCCCGAGGGCTCGGGTGAGTTTTGGATAGGCCACGGAGTGAAATTTGCACTTAGGAAATTGCTGGTATGTTGCAGGTTTGCAGGCTTCGCAATTTGCGAAGCCTGGCTCGCATTAACGTAAATGCGAAAGAAGGCCTGGGCAGGCCTGATCGCAAATGCGATCATTTGGGTTGCAAATGCGGAGGGACCTAGTCGCAAATGCGACGTCTGCCTCGCAAATGCGAACCCATCAGAAATATGGGGTGGTCGCAAATGCGATAATTATCTTCGCAAATGCGAAGATTGCAGTCTTCTGAATTGCGAACCCTGGTCGCGATTGCGACATCTGCGACCTGCAAATCCATAACTTAGCCGAAAATCTTTCATTTTTTCAAACCCTTTCAAAACCTAAACACCTTTGGGTGATTTTTCAAAGACAAGTACTCTTCCAAATCGATTGTAATTCATTCTAACTCATTTTTATTAATCTTTAACATCTTTTCTCATGATTTCAACTCAAGGTTTTCATGGGGAAATTGGGTGTTATGGGTAGAACTTAGGTTTTTTAAATTTTTGGGATTTGGACCTCGATTTGAGGTCCAATTTCAAAATAAATTATATATTTGAGTTCGTGGGTGAATGGGTAATCGGATTTTGGTTCGAACCTCGAGTTTTGACCATGTGGCCCGGGGTTGATTTTTGACTTTTGGATATATCTCTAGAAAATCTATTTTTCATGCATTGGAATTGATTCGTTTAACATTTATTGATATAGTTAAGTAACCTTTGGCTAGATACGAGCGAATTGGTGGTGGAATCAAGAGGTAAAGCGGTAGTTGAGACTTGAATTGTGTTCGTGGCATCGAGGTAAGTGTTTGGTCTAACCTTAGCTTGAGGGATTAGGAGTTGTGTCTTATTTGCTATTTGTTAACTGTGGAGTACGACGTATAGGCATGGTGACGAGTATCTATACGTCAGTGTCAAGCATGCCCATGAGTCTTGTATTGTAATTGTTGTGACTCCGTCGTGGTTTATTCATGCTTTATATGATGATTTGTATTATTGTTCCCTTGCCGGGATGTTGTTGTTATATTATTGTTCCCTTGCCGGGATGTTGTTGCTGTATTATTATTCCCTTGCTGGGATTCTTCTATGATTGGTGTTGATATATGAAATGGGAGCGGGTTGCACGCCTGCAACGAGATATATAAAATTGGAGCGGGTTGCATGCCTACAACGGTAATATATGAAATGGGAGCGGGTTGCACGCCTGCAACAGTAATATATGAAATGGGAGCGGGGTTGCACGCCTGCAACGAGATATATGAAATGGGAGCGGGTTGCACGCCTGCAACGGTAATATATAAAATGGGAGCGGGTTGCATGCCTGCAACGGGATATATGAAATGGGAGCGGGTTGCACGCCCAACGAGAAAGAAATGCAAGTGAATACTGTGTTTGTTTTCCTTATTGTTGTTGGCAACTAAATTATGGTTTCTTTACATTCCTCTTTAGTATTTTGTTGTTATCTGATACTCCCCGTAGCATGTCTCCCCCCCACCCCTCCTTTAACTCTGAATATCTGCTTTTGTTTTCTGCTGTATATGATTTAACTGCAAAGGGTTATTTGGTAGTCTGGTCCTAGCCTCGTCACTACTTCGCCGAGGTTAGGCTAGGCACTTACCAGCACATGGGGTCGGTTGTGCTGATACTACACTCTGCACTGTGTGCAGATACCGATACCGGAGCGTTTGGACCGCAGTGAGGGTGCTGTCTTCAGTTCATTTAGGCGACTCGAGGTAGTCCTGCAGGCGTCCGCAAGCCTTGGCGTCTCCTTCTATCTTTCTCTACTGTTTCTTTTATGTATTTCTGAAATAGTTTGTATTTATTTTTCGGACCTTTATTTGTAGTACTCTTAGACAGTCTGTGAAATTGTGACACCAAATTGTGGTAGTATTGTATGTCAGATTATGTAGCAATGTTTGGTTAAACTATTAAGTTTCCGTCTTCCGCATTTCTGGTTATTTAATTTATTCCGCTGTTTAATCACTTATTACTTTGAATTGTTGAACATGCTTAATAAAAAGGGTAATGAATTTATAATACTCGGCTTGCTTAGCTTTCACGAGTAGGCGCCATCACGACTCCCGAGGGTGGGAAATCCGAGTCGTGACAATTGTCTTCACATTCATATGATCAGAATTTGATGACTGCCTTTGTAGCCAAAACCAATTAAAGTTACTACCTTGAGTTAGAGCATAAATGCTCTTCTTTCTCTCTTTCTGCTGGCTCAGAAGTTTAACATGGTTTAACTACAAATATCACATTCATCCAGAGAAAAGAAACAAAGATTATACTTTCTAGAGATGAAAATTGAAGTTTGGTTGAAATATATATACTTTGGATACATCTCCTCAGTGCCATAAAATTAAGCCTTTTAATACGCAGTTCTCTAAATAAAATGCTTTTTCAAACGGTAACAGGACATCCCGTATTAAGCTCTGATTATGTGCTGGTCCAGGATCGAGGTAGAATCGAACCATATTAGGTCTATTGTACGCAACCTTATCTTATATTTTTGCAAGAGGCTATATCCACGGCTTGAACCGTGACCTCGAACCGTGACCTCTTGGGGTCACACAACGGCAACTCTTGTACAAACAACACCTTGATTAGGAAGACCTCAACTACTCAATGTACATCTAGTAAGATTTGCAACGACAAAGAAATGCATCTTGACCCTTTTTGGCTCGGATGCTTCAGGGAGAGCTCTCTCACCGACCTCCTCATGTCGGGATGTTTCAACTTCAGCGCCCGCTGGTCCGAGAACTTCTTATACGGTGACAACAGCCTCGGGCCACCACTTTGGATTTATCCTCCTCTTCTTCTTCTTTGGACCCATCCCTTAATCGACGGATTGAGTCTGAGGACATAGCACCGGTGTCTCCCCTGGGCTTGCACGACCTCTTCGTTGGTTTCTTCTTTTTCGAGCTCGGGGAACTCAGAGCCCCTTTCCTTTTCTTCTCTTTAGCCTGCTTCGGAGCAGGTGGATGGGGAAGGACTTCTTTGCCTCCAGATAGGGGCCTCATTGCAACATCCTTCCCGAGGACTACAAAGGAAAAAAAATGAGTAAGCTCGAGAAGAAACCCAAACGATAACCATTCTAAGAAAGAAAATTACCATGATTGTGGACCTCTCATCGACCCTTCGATAACTCCATCCAAGCACGCTCGGAGTATGATCTCTGTGACACCAAGCCTTCGACCCATTGTTTGAGTTCGGGAACTACTTCCGGCACCTAGGCCACAGCTGCAACACCAAAAGCATAGATGAAATTTGGGTGCAAGAATTGCAAAGAAAAGATATTTTTGAAGAGAAGCAAGAATGGGAGACTCTTTGAGCGTAACGTTTGTATAGAGGAAGGTTACGGTACTTATAGCTTCCAGGTGACGGTTCAGAACTCATGGTGGCCGACCAGCAACTGGCAGGCATTTAATGCCTTGGTCACTGGACCGACGGGACGTTTCGAGTTGTTGCTTACGTCATGATCGGGTATATCAGTGACGTTCGTCGCTTACGTCACAGCCCATCGAGACGAAACTCGGAAATTCATATCGTTTCTCGTCACCTTCTCTCCGAGAAACGAGGGGACTATCTGTATACGATCAAAATCGGGTTTGCCATTTTGTATGACTAATCGAGACCAGAACATGATAGGCCAAGGTTCAGCCTCGTGTTATATCGAACCATGATGCAAAGTTAGGTTCTCGTGGCCCAGAGACCGATCAAGATCGAGATCGACCAAGATTGAGACCGAGCAAGATAGAGATCGAGCGAGATCGAAGGAAGCTTACCGAGCCATATAACGGAAAGCCAAAATATCCGTAATCGGGCGAGGATCACGGCGAAATCCCGGCACGTATCAAGAAGAGGCCGATTAATTAGCTAATCATGGGATTCTTATCTATATAGAATTGTATCAAGAGTAGGACTCCCCTACTATATAAAGGGGGTCTGATCATTTGTAAAAGGGATCATATTCACGCAATACAAAGCAATATACTTTCATTTTCTAGCTTTTATTATCTTGTTATTCTGTTCATAAGCCATTTGAAACATCTTTGGTTCAAGGGTGACTGAAATCGAGGGCCAAGGTTTTCAATTTGTGTGGTTTGCATTTATTCTTTTATTGTCAATTTCAATACTAATTTATTCTTCTTAATTTGTACCAAGTTATATCACGTGTCCTTAAAACTGCATATAAATTCAATTGTTATCCGATTTTAGGGTAAACACAGACCACATTCGATCTATTGTACGCAACTTTACATTGCATTTCTGCAAGAGGCAGTATCCACGGCTTGCACCCGTAATCTCTTGGGGTCACACAGCGGCAACTCTAACCATTGAGCCAAGGTTTTTCGAACCGTGACAACAACAACATACCCAGTGTAATCCCACCAAGTGGGTCTGAGAGGATAGGATGTACGCAGACCTTAGCCCTACATTTGTGAAGGTAGAGAGGCTTGTTTTTCGAACCGTTACAAAGAAAAATATTTAATAATCCAGGTTATTACAGCTACTGTATGAGCATGCAAATCTCTCGACGAAAATTCAAAAGGAATAATTTGTTCTAATATTATCTTATATCCTTGTCATGAAACACCAGCAGATCAAAAACAAGACAGCCTAAAATCAGATGCAAAAAGTGTTTATCAATCACCAACTGCTGCAATGAAACCAAGAATATATGATTGCAAGAATGAAACAAGTAAAACAAAGACATCTATGAGAAAACAGAAAAGAAAAATATGAAAGCGCGAAGCACCTTCACTTGAGATATATTTTACAAACAACACCATAATTAGGAAGATCTCAACTACTCAATGTACATCTAGGACAAAATGTAGAGGTGGATGCAGCGTATACTCTATGGTTTCAACTGAATCAAGTATTTTCGACACAAAACGTAAGTAAAAATGTAAAATATCACTAGAATTTCAACCAATATTAAATTCTAAACCGATAACGTCAAGAGTACAATGAGTTCAGCAAAAGAACCTTAAAGATTGAACCCATCAAGTTTAACTCCTGAATCTACCTCGACAAAATGTGAACAAGGAAGTGTATCGTCATCAAGGTAATTGCTCTTGCTGAATTAGATGTTGTTGGGGCTGCAGTTGTTGTTGCTGTTGCTGCTGAAGTTGATCATTTGGCTGCTCGTCGAGTTGATCTTCTGATTGCTGAGGTTGTTTTTCTTCTTGCCAAGTCCAAACAATATCCTGAAGACCTGGTCTTAGGCCTTCATTCAATATCTCCTGATATTCCAACGTATCGCCATCTGATTTTTTCACTTCAACCAAATGAAAAGCCTCAATGACCTCAAAGATCTCCGCGTTGATGGCTAAAATCCCTTTTCGTCCTTCCTTTGTACCTTCAAACCTCAGTAATCCTGCATCCCTTTTGCTAACTTTCAGCTTAAGACGTTTAGCGGTATCTTCCAGCTTGGATATGATGACCGACGCAGGTTTCCAGGATGTGAATTTAGCTTCTTTCTTTAAAATAGGTTCCTCAAATAATTTTGATAAATCAAACTTAGCATAAAGGGAAATGATATCAAATGCATTCAAGTTTGGAATCCTAGCCACCTCTTGCTTTTCCTCTGTATTTGCTGAAGCTAAATCCGTGCTTACATAGTCTACTATCGTAGATTTAGAGGAAGTAGAAATTCCCCTCCTGAACCAGGTACTCCCTCTAATTTTTGCCAGAGAAATTCTTGTACTTGGATTAGGATCCAACATTTTCGAAAGTAGCCGTCGGGCTTCTGGTGGAAACCAACTTGGACACCTGAATTCAGCTTTGCCGATCTTCCTATATATTTCCATTAAATTTGAGTCCTGAAATGGAAGATAACCAGCTAACAAGACGAATAGGACAACCCCACATGACCAAATATCAGCTTTCGCACCATCGTAGCCTTTTCTATTGATCACCTCCGGAGCAACATAGGCTGGAGTCCCGCACATAGTGTGTAGGAGTCCGTCTTGGCGCTTTGACTCGACAAAAGCACTTAAACCAAAATCTGAAATTTTTAAATTTTCATCATCGTCTAACAGTAAGTTTTCAGGTTTCAAATCCCGGTGATAGACACCCCTGCTATGGCAAAAATCTACAGCATTTATCAACTGTTGAAAATATTTTCGTGCGACGTCCTCTTTTAGCTTTCCTTTCGCCACCTTGTTAAAGAGTTCACCTCCTTTAGCATACTCCATCACGAAATAAATCTTGGTTTTTGTTGCCATGACTTCGTAAAGGTGCACGATATTAGGATGTCTAACTAGTCTCATAACGGATATTTCCCGTTTGATCTGATTCACGAGTCCAACCCTTAGAACTTTTTCCTTGTCGATAACTTTGATGGCAACACTCTGCCCATTTCTGATACTCCTAGCATAGTAAACCTTAGCAAATGTACCTTGACCTAACAATCTCCCCAATTCGTATCGCTCCATCAGAATGCTTCCTTTATTTGCCATATAAAAATCTATTAAACCTAGTACTAGTTAAGTAAGCACTAAGCTATCTATCTCTCCGACTAGTACAACTTACATTCAAAACCTTATAATTTAGCGCCATTCAACCATCCGTGCATGAATTCTCATTTGTTAACGCAACGGGCAACGTGCTGCTACTCCACGCACTTTGCATCTTGCCACCAAAATTGATGCTATGATCGCCGAACCTAGGCCCAATCTTTTCAAGAACGAAAAATGGGAACACTATTAAGACCAAATCCTCAAGAAGATCAGTTTTTAAATCCCAGACATTCAAACACATCTTTCAGCATTCCTAGGATTCTCTATTCTCAATGACCACTAGAAATCGCTGAAAAAGTGTGTAGTCGAGCAACTATAGATGAGCTTCCGCTGCCCCCCCTGGAAAAGGAGAAATCAGAGGGAAAGATTTTAATAGCTAGATTATATTGTTCTTCCAACAACAGAAATACGATTTGAAAGGACAATCAAATGCATCTTGAGCAATATCGATGGTAGGTATCTATATATAATATATTAGCAGAATATAGTATACCTGTTAGTGTATTCTAAATGAATGAATTTAAACTATCAACTCAGAACAACTACTGCACGGGACCTGTAAAGCAAGGTGCAATAGAGGAACCATATATATGATTGCTCTAACTTTATGCTAAATATAATGCACAATGTTATGAAGGGGACTCTTCGCGCAACGATAAGAGTTGTTGCCATGCGACCAGGAGGTCACGAGTTCAAGTTATGAAAACAGCCTCTTGCAGAAATATAAGGTAAAACTGCGTACAATGACATCTAATATGGGCTGATTGGGAAATCATAACGAAACTTACTTGGGACTTCCTAATTCCAAGGAAACAAGTGATAATTCCTACTTCAAATTTGCCTAACATGGTGGATACATCAACAAGAACTATGCTTTAGGCCATCAAATATCTCTAGTGTTTGTAACATTAGCCATTTAAGTTACTCAACTTAAACCTATGGCTAATAAATTCAAATCTAAATGAAATTAATATAAAAGTCAGTCTGACACAAATAAATTATCTGAAGAGCATCCATCAACTATAGCTATCATAAAATTTAATTCTTGACAAAATCCACCAAAAGGTGTTGATTTAAACTAAAATAGATATCAAGAGAAAAAAGAAATTACAAATGGACAATTAAACAGAAGGATTCTACAATAAAATATCAAATTAACATCATTTATGTAATAAAGGGTCAATCTTGAATCATACTATCTCAAGAAATCAGGTGAAAAACGGCAGAAAAAAAGAAGAATCAAGAAAATAATCCAAGTATAATTATCCTAATGCAAAATATATTCAAAAAGCTGAAATCTTTACCTTATAAATAGGTTAAATAAGGGAGAGAGAAGCCCTTGTAGCTATAGAAATTAAGGATTTTTTGCTTTCTCCTGATTTCACCCAAAAAAGGAAAGTAGACAAAAACCAGAGGGACACAAAGGAAGATACACAACAAGTGGCAACTTTGTATGTGTCAGTGGGCGCTGTTATTACGGCAGGACGAGGTTTTTTTGTTTTTGGTTTCCCACTCGGTATCCGGTACCCGCATTGGAGCCCGACTATATCCGGATTCGCGCCGCGTAGGGCCCCTTTCGGGGGGAAGCGCTCCCTACCAAGGATTTTTCCATACTCAGGGCTCGAACCCGAAACCTCTGGTTAAAGGAAGAGCAGTCACATTCACTGCACCACATCCTTTGGTGGTACGGCAGACCGAGGTTTGTTTCACTGCGAAAAGGTCCATGTTAACGTAAAAACAAAATTCACTAATCGCAATTTAAAGTTTATAAGTTTTTATAATATTTAAGTTAATATTATAATAATAATTGGTTTGTAATCAATTTTTTTTAGATATTTAGTAAAATTCTTGCTCCCTCAATTTTAATTTATGTGTCTACATTAATATTTAGGGAGTTTAGGAAGTTCATTTTTTACCATGAATTTTTTAAATATTTTAAAATATAAATTATTATGGCTTATAGTACTTTGTATATAATTTTTCAAATAAAATTTGAATAATTTATGTCTAATTTCATGTGCAAAATTAAGAACTTTGACGCTCGTGTGCAGAATCAAACCACATAAAGTAAAATAGCGGGAGTAATAAGTATATGCCAAATTCACGTGAACAAATTAAGAAACTTTTGTGATCCGAAGCAACGGGAAAACTGACAAATGCAAACATGTTAACATGGTAGGTTTTTGTTCTTAGCATGTGCTATTTACACGTTTACTCTTTTTTCACGTTTAATCCATGACCAAAAAGAAAGTAACCAAAAAAGGAAAAGAAAACTCTCAATACAAGACAAATATAGACCTGTAATTGAATATCTGAGCCAGACAACTAGTAATGAATTCGGTGGCGGACCCAAAATTATATACAAGCGGATTCAGATAAAGACTAAATTCTCGACTGCATTCGATATTAGAAGTGTTGGGTGTGCGAACAAAGTCCCACATTGGTAGCTGAAAAGATTGGGAGTCTACATATAAAGTGTATGGATCTTTTAATGGTGTGAGGCCTTTTGGGGCAAACCGTGCGGGCTTGGCCCAAAGCGGACAATATCACACCATGTTAAGAGTGTCATTGGGCCGTTTTAGCCCAACAACTGGTATCAGAGCCCAGGTTCAGCGGAACGAGTATGGAGATGGCGGAGTAATGGTGCAGGGCGGTGCACACACAAGAAGAAGCTAGTTGCGGGCTTCGATTGCCATAATACTCTAACAATGTGGGTGGCACAGTGAATCTCGAAAATTGACCCGTGGATCGTGGTTGTGGGCCACGTGGAACTTAGTTCGAGGGGGAAATTGTTGGGTGTGCGAACAAAGTCCCACATTGGTAGCTGAAAAGATTGGGAGTCTACATATAAGGTGTAGGGATCTATTAATGGTGTGAGGCCTTTTGGGGAAAACCGTGCGGGCTTGACCCAAAGCGGACAATATCACACCATGTTAAGAGTGTCATTGGGCCGTTTTAGCCCAACAATGCAAAGGACTTGTGCTTCAGTACTAGATTGACGTTGTACTGCTGAAAGTGCTGGGATGCTATACTGTTTGGTGCTTGTTATTATTATTGTAAGAGTTCTACTGGAATGTGCTTGCAAAGCTGCTTGCCTGATCTCTAATTACTGCTTTTCTAAATACATATCAGTTGTGTTCTATTCTGATCCAATTTGTCTTCTTTACTCTTTTGAATCTTTGGCTTAATACTCCTTACTAGACCTTCCAATATTTTCTTCTCATGCAGGAGCAAGCTTAGTTTCCTCGGGGAAACAGGATAATTTGCAAGTTTAGAATAATGATAAATCCTAGTCGCACTAGTATCACAATCTGATTCTGATGAATCAGAACATTGCATATTGAGGCAACCTAGTTTGAACTCTCCTTGAGCCACATCTACTTCATCTTCTGAATCTAGCTGCAGAATTGAACTAATAAATCATAATACTACTCTAACTAGTCAAAGAAGGAAGAGTAAAGAGATTTAGATGATGTGATAACAAGTTAAACAGCAGTAAGTCTCAAAATCTAGTTAACATAGACACCACATTTAAGTATGAAGTTTATGCTCTTCTATTATGTAGACCTGCATGAGTTGTGGGTTTTAAAGGGGTTGGTTTTCTTGGTGTTTTAACAGTATGCATATCAGTTTTGAGCATTTGCTTTTGTTGCTCTATCTTCTTAATTAAATAATTTTTGTGTTAAAAAGGGTCGAGATCCAACACCAAGTGAGTTGCATTTGCACGTCCATACACATGGTATTGATGAAAAATCTTTTGTTGCTGACAAATTCCAAATCGTACATGTAAGATTACTTTTTAAATAATTTTATTGACTTTACTTTCCTATATTTTTTTCATTTTGTAAATTGAATGTTCAATATTTTAGTCTTTTTATTTCACTAATTATTAACGGGGAAAATATCAGGAGATATTACAACAACAAACACAAATTCAATCTGATATTGATCAGTGTAAAGCATATTATCAAACAGTTGGAGGAGAAAAGAAAAGAAGATTATATGGTCTTTGATCTCAAGCAAAATGCTACTACGGGCCAAATCTTCGTGGCTCTTTTGGATCTGATGCTACATCGTCAGCAACACCTCCAAATGCCCAATCAACACCGACAGGGAATCTGGATGAGTTAGTGATGCGATTGATTCCTGCACTGACAGATGATATAGTTCCTGTAATCGTTGAGCGGGTACGCGAATTAGTTTCCTTACCCTCGCATCAGCCAAATACTGATCTTACCAACCACCCATTAGATGTGGCATCTACAGTTCCTACATCTTCTAACGCTGCTAACATTGATGAGGTTCATACATTGGGTTCTGATGATGACCGTAACTCTCCAGGCTCGCATAGTTAGCCTACTTTGTTTCGACTTTATTGTTGGTCCTTGTAGATTTTTTGTACTTAACGATACTGTTATATGCATTATGCTATATATTTTGGACCTTGTTGAATATATTGTTAATTTATATTAATATCAGTGACTTCTTATTAAGTGCATTTTATAGCTTTTATGTAATATTCTTGAACAGAGTACATTTAAAATAATAAATAAAAAGAATTTTAAAAGATCATCAATATATTAAAAATAAATTAGTGGCGGATACTTTCTGTACCTAAAATTATCGCGTAAAATTAAATCTTGTGACGAATTGGCGACAAAAGGTTTTTGTTGCAAAAAACAGAGAGAATTAGCTATAACACGTCTAGTGACAGACGTTCCTCGCTATACGAACAAATGACGAATTTTGTTATGTATTGCAGCGATGGAAGGCATCAAAATAGCGACAGAAACAAGCAATATAGCGACAATTATTTCCCTTGCTAAACTTTGCTACAGATATATTCCGTCGCTACTCTGTTGCTAATTCTGCGACGGTTTGGTATTTTTCGTCGCTATGAGCTTAGCTACGAGCATTTTAGGGACAAACTCGAATCCGTCTCTAAACAACTGTAGCGACGGAATGCAGCCGTCGTTAAACGCTATTCTTTTGTAGTGATTTCTCATCCTCTTTCTCACCAGATTTTTCATCCTCAACCTTCCTCAACTCCTTTTCACTCATAGATGACTCCGTCTTGGACTTTGGAACAGTAAGTTTCTTTGGGAACTTACGAACCAAGGGACCAGGTTCCTCTTCTACCTCACCATCCACATTCACGACTAGTGCAGGAGCCACTACCTTCTCATTGACAACCTTTCCATCTTTCACCAGTATCCTCTTCTTCTTTTCCTTTTTTACTTTTCCTTAAGACGGACTCAAGTTTTTCCTTCATTTGCAACCTCGTGATGGGTCTCTTAGACGACGACCCCTTGGGAGGTGCCTTTCTACTCCTAGCACTAATAAAGCTCGCTAGAGCCACATTATCACAATCTTCTCCTTCACTATCCTCCTTCTCCTCCTAATACAAAGATCGCATCTCAGGAACCACAATTGTTGATGGCTCAGCATAGAAATGAGGAGAGGGAGCAAGATCAGTACTGACTTGGGGTTCTTATGGAGAACCAGGGGTTTTATCCCAAGTGGAAGCAGAGGGCTCCTCTTGGGCGGAGAGTTCGGGTCCCTCAATTGGTTCCCAAATAGTATTGTTAGGTGCCAAAGTTTCGACATGCACCAATTCCCTACCCTTGACCTCTGCACTGTTTTAGTCATTTGAAAAATTGTGCATGAGAGTACAAAGGAACTACTAACATGTGTCAAGGGAACCAGGTTCCCTGACAGATTTTGCAAATGTAAGCCTCATCCTTTGACCAACTTGCAATGTATTAGCTTCTTGTTTGCTCTGTAATTGTGATGCGTGTCCACTTGTAACGGTATAGAGACGAGTTAGACTTTTCCAGAAAACACTTTAGCTAATTTTACCTGTACATTTCTTTCATAGCCAATCATTGAGGGATCAAGTTCTCAGTTGGGTTTTATCAACCCTAGTGCTAGGAGTTTCTTTCAAAATGCTCTTTGCTCAGGACTTTGGCGAATATATCAGCAATTTGATCTTCTGTGCTGCAGAACTTCATGTATATGTGCCCTTTCTCAACATTGTCTTTCTTGGCCCAATTAAAGGTTAGTTTTGAAGACTGACAAAGGAACTCAGGATGAACCAGGTCCATCACTCAGGTGCACAAAGACGGGCAGATTCGAGCATGTGGGTTGCACGTGAAGGAGATAAGCTTAACGTGGTGTATTTAATATCTCCTGATCAAAAAGGTTGCATAACTGATAAGGAGAAGGAGTCCTTACTCAAAAAGAACACTATCCAAGATAGGGAAGGAGTTAGAAGTTGAAATCAACTAGAACTCTTCCACCAAGGAAAAGTTACATCAGAACTCTAGTTATTTCTTCATCTACTAACTCTATAAATTGCAGGATGTTCTCACATTTACAAAGGTTGCACAAAAACGCAGAAGTTAAACGTGAATTGAGAGCAAAATACAAGGCTTTTTGCAAGCAGTTCGTGTGTGATTCAAGTGTGCAAACCTGAAGCTACATGAACCAGATTGAAGAACCAGCTCCATAAAGAGTGTTATGTGTCTTTCTTTATTTCTAGTTAATTGTAGTAGGTGTTTCATATTGTACCTTTCAGCTTTATCTAGAAGCAATTGTAATAGGTATTTTGAGTATTCAAGTTAGAGTTAACTTGAAGTTGTCGCAGCAGTTAGAGGCTGGTTGCTACAACGGGATTAGAGTTAATCCTTAGGTTTATAAAGAGTTTTGTAAATGCTGTTTTGGCTCAGTGATTTTAGTGGAAGTTTGGGAAAATCCTACTGAGTAGTAGGTCGTGATTTTTTCACCTTTTGAGCCAGGTGTTTTCCACGTAAAATCTCTGTGTTCTTTATTATCTGTATTTATTATTCCGCAACAGTAGTAGTTGGAACACATAGAAGAACCAGGTCCTTTCAGAAGCAGTATAAACGAAAAATTGGGTACCACACAAATCATCCCCCCCCTCTTGTGTGGTATTGACGTTTAGAACATCAATTGGTATCAGAGCAGGTTATCCTTGAAGAGGCTAACACCTTAGGAACAAATCAAGATGAGTGCACCACCTGGAATCTCTGAAGGGCAATCCACTGATAGGCATCTACTCTATAATGGCTTCTACTACTCTTGGTGGAAAAATAGGATGAGAGATCACATCATCGGAGAAGACTATCAGCTATGGGACATTGTCACTGATGGTCCCCTGGCTACCATGAAGAAGAATGCTGAAGGAGTAGATGCGCCAAAAACAAGAGCTGACTGCAATGCTGAGGACTTGAGGAAGTGGGAAAAGAATGCAAAGGCCAAGAAATGGCTTGTGTGTAGACTTGGTCCAGACGAGTACAACAGAATTTAAAGTTGTACCACTGCTAAGGAAATCTGGGACACTTTGCAAGTGGCTCATGAAGGAACACCTCAAGTGAAGAGGTCTAGAGGAACACTGTTGTATTCTCAATATGACAATTTCACCATGAAGGAAGAGGAAACCATCCAAGAGATGTATACAAGGTTCACCATGCTGAAATATGAACTTAAGTCTCTTGGAAGGGTTATTCTTGAAGAAGACAAAGTTGAGAAGATTTTGACAAGGGTACTGCCAATCTCTTGGGAAAGCAAAATCACTGCTATTCAGGAATCAAAGAACATTGCCACTCTTAAGTTGGATGAGCTAATTGGAAATCTCACTGCCTATGAACTTAGAAGGCAAACCATGAAGATGGATGCACCCAAGAAGTAAAGGAGCATGGCATTCAGAATCACTGAAGGTGCTGATCTAGAGGAGGATGAAATGACCATGATCACAAAGGATTTCAAGAAGTATCTAATGAGAGGAAATGGTCCTTCAAGAAGTGGAAGCTACAACAAACCAATGGTTCCTGAAAAAAAACCAATGAGGGGTGTTACAAGTGTGGGAAGACTGATCACCACATCAAAAATTGCCCTCAATGGGAAATTGAATGGAAGAAGGAAATAGCTGAACGAAGGAACAGGTTCCACCCAAGAAGAACAAAGGATCAACAAAAGCTATGGTTGCTGCCTGGGGAGAAAGCTCAGATGGAGATGAACAAGCACTTATGGCAATTGTAGAATCCGATGAGGAATCTGAGGTAAGTATAATTCATCTCAAAGACAAGATTAATTTTTTGTCTAAAGAAAGGCTGTCTGAGTTACTCCTGGATTTCATTGATGAATCTGAGGATCTAAACAATGAAAACAAACAGCTGTCTAAGGAGTGTGTGATTTTTAAAGCTAAGTGCAAAAATCTGGAACTTAGGGCTAGTGAAAGTGGAAGTAAAAATACTGAGTTAAAGAACCAGGTTCATGAACTTGACACCATAGTCCTAGAGCTTAAATCTGAAAATCTAAAATTGAAATTAGGAACTGGTAAAAAGAAATCTGATCACACACAACTCACTTTAGAAGAAACTGTAGGAAAAATGAAAGATGAGTTATACAAAAGAGATGAGCAGATAAGAGTCCTTAAGGAGGATCTATACAAGGTTAAGCACGAGCTAGATAGAACCTGTAAATGGAATAGGTCCTCCGATGCACTTTCATGGCTACATGAACACCATAGTAGCAATAAGAGAGGACTTGGCTACGGGATCCCTGCACCTAAGTGGGATCCCAGAAGCAAGTACCTCACACTTCCTGAGAACAAATTTGCACACACTGTGGTAAAATTGGTCACTATAAAAGTGAATGTATTGCAAAAGAAAGGGCTGGTCAAAAGAATAAAGAATTTGTTCAAGGGAAAATAGGCTGCCAGGTTGGGCTAAAAAGAGTTTGATTCACCCTTTTGCCTATAGAAAGGGACCCAAACTAGTTTGGGTTCCTAAGACTAACCCCTGATTTCCTTTTGCGGGTCCAAGTGAAAGGAAGCAGCCAAATATGGTACGTGGATAGTGGTTGTTCAAAGCATATGAGAGGAAGCAAGAACCAGTTCCTTTCACTTGAGAACCTCAAAAGAGGTAATGTCTCCTTTAGAAATGGGAAGAAAGGTGAGATCATTGGGGTTGGAAAGGTAGGTAAGACCGATTCTCACTCTATTGAGAATGTCTACTTGATAGATGACCTAAAGTATAGTCTAATCAGTGTATCACAATTATGTGATAGAGGTAACTTGGTAGTAATCACCTCTACCAAATGTTTTGTGATTAATCTTACTACTGACAAGATTGTTTTGCAGGAGAAAAAGAGTAAACAATACATACATTGTAGATTTGTCCACACTTTTAGAAAATGAACTCACTTGCTTAAGTGTGTTGGACAATGATCCCCTCCTTTGGCACAAGAGACTTGGACATGCAAGTCTGAGTCAACTCAACAAATTAGTCTCCAAGAATCTGGTGATAGGGCCACCTAACATCAAGTTCAAGGAAGACAAAGTTTGTGAGGCTTGTGCAAGGGGGAAGCAGGTAAGATCCTCTTTTAAATGCAAGAAAGTGGTAAGCACCACCAGAACGATGGAACTGGTCCATA